CGGAAAAGTTTCCGTCAAAAGCAAGTAAACTATTAGTTTTTGCCAAAAAATTTTGCTAATATCTGCGGTTAACGGCCATATGGAGTCACGAAAGTTACGTCGTCTGCAAAGTAAGGCTGAGATTTCAAACTTTTAAATTATAAGTCAACATTTGACATTGTACAAAGTAACAAGTTTTTGATTTTTTTCAATGAAATCAAAGTAGTATATAAGCCAGGTAGGTGATCTGATCATATCAAACTACATAGGTATTAGGTGATAAACAAAAAAACTGCCTAGTTCAATTACAAAATTTACCACTTTTTTAATCTGCTTCGACAGTTATTTCAATTAAACATACATGTAATATACATTGAGTATATGTATAAACTATCTGCATTTTGTTATCTGTTGTCATCTACATTCCTTCTCAGTATAGCTAACGGCCTAGGCAATTTTTTTTTTCAGTGGTCTTCAATGCTCCAATAAGCCTGTATGAGATTCAAAAAACTGAATGATAACTTTTGCCGCTATGCGGCAAAGTCGCAAAAATTTTTTTTTTCTGCAAAAAATTATTGAATACCAACCAAAAAAGTTCGTTTGTTGCTCATTTTCACAAATATTTCAAATTTTAGTTGGTCTTCCGGACGCTCCTGGAAACGTTCAGGTTGAGATTGGCCCTCAGCCGGGTACATTATTAGTTTCATGGTCTCCAGTCACATCGCAACCATTGCCGCCTTCGCGTGCTGCCGTTCATTCATATTTAATCTATGCTGATGGTCGTAATATTGCTCAAGTTCCTGATGCAAATGGTTAGTTTTTTCTTCTCGTAGAATAACTAGATCATGAAAGTCGATAAATTGTTAAAGTTAACAACATTCTGAACACTGTGGGAGTACGAACGACAAGTCTGAAGAGGACATTAAACAGCGGAACTTTCAGTAGCTTATAACTGCCGATATTTTGCCATTCACCTAAGGACGGTAAAGGAACAATTTTTTTCAAAGAATTGCATTTTAGGCAAAGTTAGCAATCAGTTGAATAGTGAACTTTAGCATTAAAATGATAGACAGTGATTCTGTGTATAATTTTATCTACCAGTATACATTTTTCTTACTAAATCAAAACGGTGATTGATCTAGTGAGCATAATAGCATCAGTAATTTTCCTTGCAGTGTTTTCATACTTTGATTAAGGAAGTATTAACTGAAAATTGATTGTACTACAAGTTAAATAAAAAGTTTCAGTGGTTTGTCTATATATATTTACTATCTTTTTACTGTTGAACAGATTTAGTGATTTTTTTTGTATGCGTTACAGATGTCCCACTTTTCGTTACTTTTGTTCTTTTGAAGGGTTTGTGTGGGGAATGGGAAAACGGAAGAAAAATGTTGGCAAATTTTTTTGCTTTAATCTATTGTTACTGTGTGTTCTTTGTGCATGTATCTAGTTTAGCTTAAAAAAATTTAGATGTTATTCGTTAACACCGCCATATTTAACACTCATTATTATCCAAATTTTGCTAGCCAAAAAAAAAAGAATAAGTTAAGGATCATCACGAATGGCAGTAGTAGTAGCATTAGTGGTAGCAAAGTCAGCTTTAGCATAGCATTAGAAACAACGACAGCAAACAAGGACCTTTATTTTGAAAAATATTTGCAAATTTGCTAACAATTTCACTGTGTGTCTGTGTGTTTATGTGTGCGGAATAGAAAATGATGATTTTCCATCTGGCTGTCCCATAGGTGTAGAGGAGAAGCCTCGGTTGTCCCTGGACGAAAATATTTCATGTGTGCAGCATTTTTACCGAGTAAAATTATCGAAGCCAGCGGCAACACAGCACAGCTTAACTAACTAACGAAATAACAAACTAACTCAACCCAATCCAACCCAACCCAACTCAACTCAGCTAACTAACTAACGAACTAAATAACTAGTTAACTAGCCAATTAATCAACTAACCCAACCAGTTTACCACAACCAAATGGCAAGAGCTTATGCTCAAAACAACGTAAGTATATAAAATATTTAGTTGTTAACGACGACAATTACGAAAAAAAAATTTTTTTTATTGTTATAAACCACTAATTGTTTGGTATCATAAAGGTGTACTGAAAAAGAAAATTGAGAAGATTTTTTTTTTTTTTTCAAAGTTAAGTTTTAAATCATTATTAAGCTGTTCTTTTTTAGTTTTTTTTTAGACTATGCAGATTATTTTTTCTTATAGCCCATGTTTTTTTTTCTTCTTTCGTTTGAAGATGAAAAAAACCTCCAAAAGTATAAAGATGCATAACAATGCGCTTTTGCAATATCAGTGCTCCTCTAAACAATTGTCTGCTCCTTCTTTCTCCCACAACTTTCATGTTTATTGCCAATTTTTTTTTTTTTGCAAATAAGCTCTTTGTACTCAAACAGTTTAGGATACTTCTCAAGCATGGTCATCTAGCTTCTGTTGTCTTCATTTTCTTGGCATATATATATAACTCTGTCATTACTTATATACCTATACCTGTTTCCTATTCTAAATACGTATATTTAACTGCAACACGTATGTGGATATTCTCTTAATTTTATAAATATTTATATCAACAGATTTTATAAAAAAGCTGTAGTTTTTGTAAATGAATACTTAACATAAGCGGCAATATTCACTTGGGAAAGGGAGGGGATGGGTAGGGAAGCAAAGAAGGAAAGGTCAAGAAACAAGTAGGATTCAGATTTGAATTGAGTTACCAGTTTCGGGAAGTTCATGTTTCAATATAACTTTTCCAAGTATTTTAGCATTTTAAATGATTTTATTTCCGTCCGACTTTTTAATATGCACTTCTACTTTCCTTATTTTTTTTCCACTTTTTTTATTTGGCAAACTTTAACTTTTAATATAAACAAACTTTTCTCTCTTTTATCTGTTTGTCAATAAATATAACCAAAAAAATGGGTGTATTACACATTGCTGATTAAGTGGCATAAAATTGGAAACAGTTTTTTACAGTCATAGTTTAACAAAACATATGAGTAATTGGAACATGATGAACCTAAATTTTTTGTTAGATCAATGTTATTAAAAACAGCAAAAAATAAAAGCTTTTTTTTTTTGGTAACTAAATATATCATGAAGGGGGAGTGGAAATTTGAATGGGGGAATAGTTGGAAGGAGAAGAGGAAAGGGGAATTTGAAAAAAGAAAGCAACGGTCTTGTCTCTTTTTATTTTTTATTTTTTTTTTAGAAGAAAGATGGAAAAAAAAAAAGAAGAGGAGAGAAGAACAAATTGAATGCAATTTTTTTTTTGTTTTTTCATTTGTTGTTTAGAAGAAGAACAAAAAAAAAAAGAGAAAAAAGTAGTAGCAGCAATAGCAGAAGAAAAAGCTTCTTTTTTTTCGCATAATACTTAAATATAAGGTTTCATCTTTCCTGAATATTGTTTGGTGTTTATTAAAATCGATGAAGTGTTCATGTCATAGTTGGATGATTAATGAAGCAGAAAAAAAAAAATTCTTTTTTTTTTAGTTTATTCGTTTCTCTCTTTGTTTTTGGAGAGAAAGAGAAACTTTTTTTTTTTTTTGTTTTGCTAAAGTTTAATTGCAATAAACAATCGTTGAAAAGATGTATTTTGTTGTTTATTAATTATTAGGCAAATTTTTTTACATTAAAAAAA